GGCAGGCTTTCCCAGCGTGCAGACAAAAATCAGCCTGAAAGGCTGCCCGGTAGATGCTGTGATGGTAATTTTTGTTTGTTTGTTTTATTCAATATTCCTGTGAACGGATGTTTTCATAAGTTTGTTAAAATACTGTTTTTTAAAAGTTATCCATCAAACATCCAAACAACACAGGTAAGTAAAGACAGAAATCTCTCATTTGATTACCTGAACTATGTAAATACTCATTAAATTCTAGAATAGGGACCATAATGCTGTTGTGAGGGGCTGTTATGTACTTCCATAGTGGCCTATGCACACTGGAAGGAAAAACGGCCAGGTCCCGTGCCATTACCATCGACACAATCATTGGGGTGCTTGAACCTGTGGCTTTAGCTACTGTGCCAAACCACCGTTGTGAAGGTCTTCCGCTCTTTCATTGACCTACTTCATCGAGCGTGGTGTCCTTCTCCAAGGCCGAGTCTGTCCCGATCGTATGTGCCAAGGACGTGAGACAAGGTCTAGGCCATTCTCATTTCTAAGGGAAGTTCTGGCTTTTACTCCTTCAAAAACAACTTCAAGAACAAAAAAGTCGTTTGTTCTCTGGCCCAAATCAAACAAAGCCCATTAGCCTCGAGTCCAGGCCAGCTCGGAATGACTGTAGGACAGAGCAGAGCTGCTCCATAGGGTTTCCGAAGGTGTCAGTCTTCAAGGAAGCAGATCTGTCTCTTCGTTGTCCTTCAGAATGGTGGGTGGGTTCAGATCACCACCATTTCGGCTACTAGGGCAATGCTTACCAAACTGAGCCAACAAGGCTCTTCGTTCATCGAGCAGTTCATGGTAATTTCAATATTATTTGCCAATATCATAGTTCAAATGCATCAATCATTTCTTGTCTCTTATTCATTTCACACACTTATGCTGCACCTTGCTCAAGTAGCGTGCACCTCATTAGCTCTCACGGTGATTATCTTGCTTTTTTAACACTTTCAGGAAGTCTTTTGCAGCAGATCTGCCTAATGAACTCCCTCCTCTATTCACTGATACTTGCCCTAGAGTTGAGTGTAGATTCAAGAAAAATTAAATTGTTGATAATGCCAATATTTTTTCTGTTGCATATAAAGTAACTATGGCAAACTGATTTGATGACAGCCAACAACAAGCGAGGACAAAGAGAAATGGAGGGATTTGCAATATTTTGGAGGGAGTATCAAGGTGACTTGTCGATAGAATAATGACAGAGAAATAGAGGAGATAAATACATTTAGAGAAAAATCTCAAGGACATAGCCAAGATTTCTAGTTTCTGGAACTAGCCATTCCACGAGATGGTGAAAATTAGACATGTGTCTGCACAAGTTATCAGTGATGGGTAGACTTAAATAGCAGTTGGAGATTTACCCCAGACCAAGCCAAACCCACCACAGTCCAGTTGGTGCCGACCCATAATTGCCCTATCAGGCTGAGTAAAACTGCTCTCATGGATTTCTTAGACTGTAAATCTTTACAGAAGAGAGCCTCATCTTTCTCCCCCAGAAGGGCTGCTGAGTTCAAACTTCTGATCTTGCAATTAGCAGCTCGATGCATGACCAACTATGCCACCAGACTTCTCAAATGGATATATAACACACCTCACGTTGTCTACGCCCTCACAGGGACGTTTCCTGACTCTCCAGTCAGGCCATTCGGCCTATTGTACACTCTCATAAGCTTCCTTTGAAATAGTATTACCATTGGACTCAAAATCAGTGTTTGTGATTCAGTTTTTCCTCTCTGAATCGGTTCCTTTGGCGTATCGGTTCATGAGTGAAAACTATATGAGTGTTGGTTTGTCACTTTATCCTCCATACAAGCACAGTGAAGGCTATATTAAATGGCCACCAATTATTTTGTTCATACCATAAATACATACATCTGAATTTCTTCTTTTTTATTTCAAAGTGCTTGATTACTGACCAACAACCACTCTACAGAAAGTAAACACAGCCCCAGTGTAGCCAAGAGTTCCTTAAACACTAAGCAAAGGTACAAGATGAGAGAAAAAAAAAACATGGGAATTCTGCTGAAAAGCACCTGTAGACATAGCTATTCATTATGCTAAGAATTATTATATAACTCCCGAGAACACAGACACACACGAAGATAAATTTACACAGATTAGTCTTTTTTTTTAAAGAAAAATAACTAATGCATTTTTTCTGAGATACTCTCACATTCGTATCCTGAAACTTGAATTTAATATCTGGATTTAATATTTATTTTGCACCAATTATAAGCCGGAGACCTTGCTAGCACTTACAATACCTCATCGCAGGCATGCAGCTCACCGTTCCCTGGGATTATAGCAGACCAGAGGGGAGGTATGAGTCAGATTGACTTGATGGCGGTGGGTTTTTATTGTAAGTGAAGTTATAAAAGAATTCAAAGAGTTTCTAGAACAAATAGAAAGCCATTTAACAGCCAGCAAAGGCTTCCTGGAAACACTATTATTTGGCGTGGAGGAAGTAAGTAGTCCCCCAATCTTACACACCCACACCCCAAAACCAAACAAACACCAAAAATCAAATTTGTCTTTGAGTCAATTTCTACTTCTGGTGATTTCAAGAGCGTATGAGTAGAACTGTATTCAACAGCAATTTCAGTAGCTACTTTTCCATAAATAGAGGATCAGACTTTTCTTTTGAGCCACATCTGTAAATGTGAAGCACAGGCTGTTGGGTTAGAAGCCCAGCCTTAAAGCATGTCCACCATGGTCACTCATGGACTGTCCATGTTGGAAGGGGTGGAGTGTATGTACAGGTTGGGAGCTGTGGCTCTGATAGCCAGCCTGGCTGGAGCCTTCGTGATGAGGGTTTTTAGAGCGGTGATATGGAACATGGTACTGAATCTCTCCACACGAAAGAACACTAGCAGCCTCTTCCCTGAGGTTGTGCTACTGATTGTGCCTGTGAACAATGTTAGAAACAGAAGTCACATAAGTGACACGTATTTATTGCTACTGTTATTTGCTAATCAGATGATAATATGAACATTTTCCATTTACCTTACCAGCCTTCTTTGCATTAACACTAAGTCTGAAAGAGGAGACCCTAGGCTTTCTCTAATACCCTCGCCCAAACCTCTCTCACAGGTGTCTGTTTTGTGTGATGTATTGGACTGCTAACTGCAAAATCGGCAGTTCAGAACCACCAGCTGCTCTCAGGAGGAAGGATGGGGCTTTCCACACCTGGAAAGCATTAGTGTCAGAAGTGCACAGGGGCGATTCTGCTCCGTCTTACAGGGTAGCTATGAGCTGGCATCCACTCAACGGCAGCGAATTTGGTTTTGGAATGAGTAAGAATGTTTGGACTTAATGAAAAGGATTATCTAAAGCAGTGATTCTCAACCTGTGGCTTACGGCCCATTTGAGAGGGTCGGGGGTCGAATGAGCCTTTCACAGGTGTCGCCCAACTCATAACAGTAGCAAAATGACAGTGATGAAGTAGCAACGGGAATACTTTTGTGATTGGGGGTCACCACAACATGAGGAGCTGTTTTAAAGGGCGTGGCAATAGGAAGGTTGAGAACCACTGCTCTAAAGAAACCCCTGGTTCTTCAAAACCTTACTCTGTAGGAGCTCTATGTGGAGATGCGCATTTCTTTTGAGCCAATTTAAGATTTTCATTGGGAACCACATGGGCTGAAGGTCTGTTCAGCACATTGCAACGTTTGTTTTCTTCCAGCAAGGAAGGGATTTACAGAGATTTGGTTGACTGACATACTGGTGTGTACTTTTCATAGGGCATATCCCTTAAATGATGATTATTATTCTTTTTCATTTCTGGCTTCCTAGAGATCCATCACAATGTTAGGTGTAGCAGGCAATTTGTAAACAATTATCAAGTAAAATAAGTGCTCCAAGTTTTTAAAAATTAGGTCTTTGGAAGAACACAATTACCACTCATTTTAGTAATAAAGTCAAGCTTTGAATTACTAGTTGTAATAAGGCAACTACATGCCACTTTCTGTTTATCACACAACAAATGTAAGTGGTGTTTTGATGTGAATAACTGCCCTTTTTAAGTGATTTTATTCACATTTTCTTGACAACAGCTCTGAAAATTTCACAGTGGTTGCTAAACTATTGTATGATTGGAGAAATGAAAATGAACTTGGATTGCAGATTATGAAAAATATGAATAGGAATGAAATGTGATTTAGAAAAGTTTTTCAATAGATGGCATATAGTATTACTGAAAAGTCAACATCATTCTCCATAAGTAGTAGAAATGAATATGTGTTAATATGTCAGCTATTGATTCGATCTGTTTTGATGTTTTTCATGGAGTCAATTGCAATTCAGAGTGACCCTGTAGTACAGAATAGAGCTAACTGCCCTGCAGAATTTCCTCAGTGGTAGTGGTTAAGGAAACAAACACCAAGGTTGTTTCTTCTGTAGAGCCTCTGGTGGGTTTGAACCACTGACTTTTCAGTTAAGAGCCATCTAACAATTGCACCCCAGAACTCCTTAGACTAACTCTACCAATTCCAAATCGAACATTATGTGATCTATAAAACCAAAGTCAATTCTGACTCATGGCGACCCTATAGGACAGGATAGACTGGTTCCTGTGGGTTTCCAAGATTATACAATTCTTTAGGGAAATCATAAGCCTCTTCTTTCTCCCTCAGAGCCGTTGGTGGTTTCAAATTGCTGACCGTGCCATTAGCAACCCAACACACACTCTATACAGCTTTTGCAGACTTACAACAAATTGAGATTGTCTTAAATTCCACAGAATGAGGCATTTTAAAGTTAGATCCTGATTTACTTAATAGATTTTTTAAAGTTTATCACCTTACTTGAAGTACAATGAAAACTAGTTTTAGGTGACAAATCCTATAGAAACAAGACTTCATTAACTTAAATGGTCTAAACAATATTGAGCGAGATGCAATTTTCTGGAATTGCCATAGCTTAGCACTCAGCTTGCAATCACATAGACCTTATTCTCAGAGAAAGAAAAAGCAGAGTGGGCTTACTTTCCTCGAGTCGTTTCGAAAGCTGCCTTTTCAGACTTGGCTCTTTGGCTTCCAGGGGTGCCACCTCTGCTGAGAAAGGTTTCCCGTGGGGATCGATTCCCCATCTCTCCACCTGACTCTCGGGAGCTCTCTTGTTGATTCGACGGTCTGGCAAAACTGCGAAGGAACTTCAGTGTAGAATTGGACAGCACCACTGATTCTGCCCCAGGGCTAATTTTGAGGCCAGGATTGGTCGGGAGGACAATCTTTTGTGACCTTATCATTCCCTCTTCTGTCTTCTCCTTGGATGTGAGAGTTTCCTTTCTCTCCAGCCCGGGTGGTGCGCTCACCTCGGAGGAAAGCGGCTTTGAGAGCAGACTTTCTTTAGTGGTGCTTGCCTCGGGAGCTGTGGGTGAGATGACGTCAGCAGCGGGTGGCATTGGAAGACCGTGTGTTTTATTTAGAGGAATGAACACTGGGGTCATCTCTTGCTGAGGACGTCCACCCTCCGGGGTAGGCCGCGTAGAGGCCGTGCTGCTGTCTGCAAGACCTCCAGTCCAGAAACTAGAGAGCAGGACGAACAGACTGGCTCTCTTCATTTTCAGGCGTCTAGCAAGAAGGCTCCTCTGAAATGGGGCGGCCAAGTCCTTCTCTCTGGCCTCTGCTTTCCCTGCTTCCACACGAACCGGCTAGGGCAGAATGATGCTGATGTGAGATGGGTCAAGGAACCAGGTTTCTGTGTGTTCTCCACGGAGGAAGTGTGATTTCCTGTTTCTGTCGGTGGTTTGTAACCTCTGACCTCTGGTAGGATGGGTTTCTGAACGTGGTGAACGCTCTGGGATGAAGCTGCGGTTGAATGGGGAAAACACGGGCAATGGTCATCGGGAACTCCCTGCGGAAAACATCCTGCACACTCCTGTGTCTCCGGCCCGGATTTCAAAGAGAAACTTTAAAGTGGAAGATGGCCTGTAGGGGATGTTTCTTAGATGGACTGAGTCAAGAAATCTCGCATTTTGATGATGCTCTACCCAAGGAAACTGGCAAATTGTGAACATATTTTGCACTTATTTTTTCATTGTACTATTTCTTCCAAAGAGGCATGTAATATTCATACACACTTTAATTTTTTAAAAATCATTTTATTGGGGCTCATACAATTCATCACAATACATACATCAATTGTGTAAAGCACACTTATACATCTGTTGCCCTCATCATTCTCAAACTTCGCTTTCCGCTTGGGTTCCTGGAATCAGCTCCTCATTTTCCTTTTTCCCCTCCCCCTCCCTCCCCACTCCCCCCTCCCTCACGAACCCTTAATAATTTATAAATTATTATTATATCTTTCACACTTTAAATCTATACGTAAGAATTCACTTATAAGATAACCTGCCCTTTTACCCTTCACAGATTGAATGATGAAAAACAAATATATGTGTGAGCTTATATATACAAATAAGTATTTCCATTGGAGCACCACTTGAAATTAATCTCAATGATCACAAGTAATAACAAATAAAAAAGCATACCTAAATAATTTAGGCAACTATTCCCCAAACTAATTTTAACTTTTACTCAAAGAACTTCTAGCAGAGTTATCAACCAAATAGATAAGAAAATGGTTACCCTGCCTATTTTAAAATTCATATGTTCTAGTGGTTGTCATAGCTATGTTACCACCAAGAAGTGAATAAATGAAACAAGAGTGACATGTGAATAAATTAAAATGGTATTATCAATAATTCTTTTGATCCTTACTATAGTACAAAGGTATACTACTTGTTGAAAACAGAGAACTGAATTGAGCAATCACTGTTCTATTGTAGAAATGCTTCATTAGATTAATGATTTCACTACAACAGTAAATATCTGATCTATAGGTTTCAATGAACTGGTTTCATTTGAAAAATTCCATGAAAGACTTCTAGGACCTACATGTTACTTAAGTTTTAACAGTTTGTTCATAAAGTCAATTATTCATCTATTCAGTGATTACTTAAACAGAAGGGAGTGGAATGCACCCTGTAAAAAAAAGTTATTGTGTTTTAGGTGGCAGTTTACACAGTAAATTAGGTTTCTTTCGAACAATTTTTATACAAATCATTTCATGCTACTGTTACACTTTGTACAACGTGTCCCGATTCTCATTATTTCCATTCTGACTTTCTTTCTGTTTCCATTGACCTAGCTTCGCTTCTCCTCCTCGCATTCTCATGCTTGCTTTAAAGGAAATGTTGAAAACTTTTTCTCATGTACTTGATTGTTTAAGGGAACACATTAAACCAAAAATAACCAAATCTACTGCCATCAAGTGGATTCTAATTACAGCATTTCCATGACTGTAAATCTTTACCGGAGTAGAAAACTTTTTCCTTCAGAGAGGTTGCTGGATTTGAACTACTACCCCTGTAATTACCAATCCAATGCTTGCCCAACAGCGCAACCAGGGCACACATCAGCCATGGGCTATATTGCTTAGAACGTCTTTGATTGTTTGTCACTAAAGACTCCAAGTTCATTTCATTTGATTTTTCTTCCTTTTTAAATTTTTAAGCAACTCAAACCATTATCTAGGTTTGATGGATAAGGTATCTGGAGGAACTCTTTTTTAAGGAAACATATACTATATATATTTACACAGTCAACTCAAGGAAAAAAATCAACAATACTGTACTAAACCTTCCATATATGTGAGAATTTTTAGTCCACCTCCTATTCCTTTCCTCTCCCTGTTCCCTATTCCGCTTATTTTCTAAGACGATCTATTATGTGGCTGGAAGGGGACCTCCAGAAAAACTTCCAGTTCCAGTGTCAAAGGGCATCTTAGGACAATTGCCTTGGGGTTTCTCAAGTCCCCATTGGCTCAGTACCTCTGACCTCTTTCAGGAAGCTGGGTTTTGTTCTACATATATCTCTTATTCTGTGTGGGTTTTCTATTTTGTTCTGGTCAAGATGGTCAGCAGGGGTAGCGAGGCACCAGCACAATGCGGCTCTTCTGGTCTCGGGCTAGAGAAGGTTGTGATTCATGTATGCTCTCAGTGCCATGGAACAGAACGTTCTTTAGATGCTGATATTATAGAAGGAAGGAAGGAAGAACATTACATAACGCTGTTCAGTTTTATAGTGTTGTTAATATTTACCCCTAATCCTGGATATAGGATACTAGAATTTTAAATAAAGCCTATTTTTTCTTCCCTGAGCTACTAACTACTTGATTCTAATCCATTTCCCCTTTAATAGTAGCTATTTATGTCTACCATTTATGCATATTGATGACATCTTGGAAGTACATTGTATGGGGTTAAACTATCACACATCTTGATCAGCAGCAAGAACGATGAACTTTGATGCAAAGTTAAATTCATCTGTTTGTGTGATATGTGACAGAACTACAATCCCACAAACCCTGCATTTAATAAAATGTCAAAAGGTTTCAAAGCTGGGAAACCCAGGTAACAATTAGGTCTTAAACACAGTAAGTAAGCGGTGGCACTTTCACATGACAAACATTGGTCTCAGTTTCCAGAAAAAGACATTGCAGCTTCATCACTGGGAAAGGACAGCAGCAGCTACATTTGGCAGAATAGTGATTCGGTAAAATCCAGATAGACTAGATAAATGAACAGTCTTGGATATTTAAGAAACAATCAGAATGAAGACAGATGTAATGTTTGGTTTTGACTTTATGCTTTGTAAAAATACCTTGGTTTTGTTCAGAAGTGAGCTCCAATAGTGAAGGGTCACACATTTGATCTATAATTGATAGCAAAGAGCTATCAAATGGTAGTAAAATGGAACTAAGCTAAGCAATTAATTTCACCTCGAGAAAGGTATTGATGAATAATGGCTTTAGTCGCCACCATCCTAGTTTACCAGTGACCTTGTGATCAAAATGCTAAAGGTCCTGTATCTCATTACTAGCCCACTAAACCATCTTGTGCTGTAACTCCCCAGGGCATCCCCAGTTCATTTGATGGTTTAAGGTGCATGGATCAGTCCTTACTTGGAGACATAAAATATCTGTACTCCAGAATCCTCCAGAGGCCTAACCACGAACTCTGCTTCCTGAGATTCATTAATACTCTTAAAGCACAATTAAGAAAAATGATCTTCCTTGGGGCGGCGCTGCCTGCAGGGTACCTGGTGCATTCATTCTTTGAGATATTCTCAACATTATCCCTGGGTGAAAATATTCCCTCAGGGTTTTACACACCGGAATCTCACTTATCATTCTCACTGAATCCCCTGCTGCCTATTAGATGGTCAATATTAAATCCCTATGCTTACCCTAGCAATGTAGTCACCTGAGATTACTTTATAAGGAAAAACAAAACAAAACAAAAATCCATGAGCTCATTTTACTATGTGCTATTATGAGGTTTTCCCATCACTTCTTCATTATAATAGGCAAAGAATTAAATATGTACTATAAAATTACTGATGTCTAAGTGACGAGACAATGGCTCCTTTCAGTTTTATCATTACCTTATCATCAATATGAGTTGCAACCTAATCACAAGGTAACGTTTTAAAAATTTAAGTTAAAGAGAAACATAAATAAACTTTAAGGGAGAAGCTTAGACTTTGTAATTGATTGAAAACACAAAATACCTAGGCTAAAAGGAAATCTTTACAACTGCTTTCTTGTTTCATATGAGAAACTATTTTCTTTAAGTACTTTAAAACTGGAAAGAGATTTCATATAACCATCCTCTGTAAGTCAATTCTATCAAATGCACTGTTTCCCTGAAAATAAGATACTGTCTTATATTAATTTTTGATCCCAAAGATGCTCTAGGTCTTATTTTCAGGGGATGTCTTATTTTTCCATGAAGAAGAATACAGTACACATTTATTGTTTTTTTAAAAG